GGCCAGGTGGTGGCAGAGCAGGACATGACTGGGTCCACATGAGAAAAGTCCTGGGTTTTTGTCTCAGGGTCTTCCTGAGGATGCCAGGTGCATGTGGATGCCAACCTTCTGGGCTAGCTGAGGCTGAGGATGGATCATGGCATGAAGACTTTGTTGGGGGTGCCTATCTCTGTCTGCCTCTCTCTTGTGGAAAAAAAAACAAACTTGCTTAAAAAGTGAGTAGGTTTAAGAAACCATTACTATCACTACAACAAATAATCTCATATAAATTTTAAGTGTGCATATTTAAAAGTAAACACGCATATTTTTAAATGTGCAGATAAATTCTGAGAAATGGAACTCCTGTGTCAAGTCATAATGGTTGAGGATGCCATATCAAATATTTGGAGCTTGCCAAAATAACCGGTGAAGAATGTTTTATTCAGTGTAGCCATAAATTGCATTTTTCTCATTATGAATGAGAGTGAACATTCTTTCACATCTTTGTATATCCTTTTCTATGAACTCTTTATGAACATTGCCCTTTCCTCATTGGGTCTTTGTTTAAAAACATTCTTTTTAAGAGCTGTTTATGTATTAGAGAAATAAGCCCTTTGTGATATGGGTTGAAAACATTTTCTCCCATTTGTTCTTTGCCTTTTAACTTTGATTATGGTGTTTCTGACATCCAGAATTTTTCAATGTAATCAAAATTAAATTGTTTAGGCTTTTGATTTTTTTTTTTAACTGTCAGGGGGTGCAGGTGCTCAAAGAAAGAAACAAAGAGACAGAGACAGATAGAGAGGGAGGAGGGGCCCTGCAATGAGTGCGGTCATGTCACAGTCCCTCCTCTACTTCTCCATCTTGTTGGGATCTGGGGCATGCACACATATCCACCGTGTTTTTCAAGGCACCACGGCCCAGATTTGAACTGTGTGGTCAGCCATGTGGGGTTCAGCTGTCTTATCATTAGGCTAAGGGGTCAGTCTATAGGCTTTGGATTTTAAAAATTAATAGTTAGAAAGCTTTTCCTGCTCTGAAGTTATGAAAGAGTTCTCCCACCATTTAAAAATTACTTTCGTTTTCATTTTTACATTGAAGTAGTTGATTCTGTGAAGTTTACAATGAGGTAAAGTTTGACTTAAACATCACATTTTCCCCCAGGTGATTAAGCATTTGTACTAATAATTATTGACTAATTCATCTTATCTCTAATGATTTTAGATAGCATTACTTTATTGTTTATTAAGTTCCTATGCATATTTAGATCTATTTTCCAACTTTTAATTATTATTTGGATCATTATTTATTCATGTATCAATAGCACACTGTTTTAATAATTCAGACTTTATAGTATGTTTAATGTCTGGTAGATCTTGCTCTCTTGTCTCTCTTCTTTTACAGAATCTTTCTGGTTGTATATTTTTGTTTATTTTTCCAAATGAATTTTAAAACTAGCATATCTGGGACCAGCAGTTGGCGTAATGGCTATGTCACTGGACTCCCATGTAGTCAATCGTGGTTCGAGTCCCGGACCCGGTGGCTTAAACTCATGCCAGGTGCATGTGTGTACATGCCCAAGATCCCAAGAGGAGAATGGAGGTGAAGGGATTGTGGTGTGGCCATCCCCCCTCCGAAAGTGATTTCTTGCTTTCTGTCTCTCTGTCTCTCTCTGTTTTTCTGGCAAGCATATGTACCCTATAGTAAAAACCTCTCCAAAAATTAAATAAATAAATAAATAAATAAATAACACTAGCATATCTGTCTTTTAAAAAATCCAGTTGATTTATTTATGGTATTGTTTTTAATTTTATAGATTACCTACTGAGCACTGACATCTTTTTGAGGTTGTAGCTTCCTTCCCAACAATAAAAGATACTTTTTTCATTTGATTTTTTGAAACCTTCAAGAGTTTTAAGCTTTTTGTCTATGTATCTCACATATTTCTTGTGAAATTTATTTCCAAATATTTCCTCTTTGTAAACGGGGTATTTTCTGCTATAATATAAAACTTTTTCTAAGGAAACCTCATGAGACTAATAGTCTTTGGGACCACATTAGAAAATCATACTTGACTTTTTTTGCATCCCTTGTACTCCAAGCAGTGTGTGTCCTGGAAGGGAAATGATTTTCCATAGAACATCCAGAAACCTGATAAGGAAGGGGAGGAACAAGGTCATCCTTTTACCTTTGGAAAGACTGGGAATTTTGGGTCCCATTTTATTACATAGAAGTATTTTAGACTATCTGAACTAAAGGATTGTTAGAAGATCAAGGATTAAATCCTCTCATGTAAACATGAGGAAATTGACGACTAGAAAGAGAAAATGACTTAGCGAAGCTGGGTGGGATCTGGGTCCCAGCCCATATTCATGACTGTCCAGGCCTTCCTGTAGGTGAGATTCCTTGCCACCAGTCATGGTCAACACTCTCCTATTCCATCCTGAATTTCTTTATGATTTCCTGAGGGTTAAAGGGAGCATACTCAACATCTGCTTGCACCAGAATATTTTGATTACTCAGCAATAAAAATATAGGAGCTACATTGGGCCAGCAGATAGCGTGGTAGTTAAGGCACTGGATTACACATGGCTGAGTGCACGGTTAGAGTCCTGGAACTGGCAACTCATGAAAAAAGATGGGCATGTGTGTATTCATGCCCAAGATCCTGAAAGGAGAATGGAGAAGAAGAGATTGTGGTGTGGCCATTCCCTTGGGAGTCACTTCTCACTTTCCTTTTGTCTGTCTCTGGAGTGCACACTTGCCCTAGTACCAATAAGTAAATAAATAAATAAACAAACAAATAACTATAAGCTATAGTAATATGCAAAAATCTGGATGAATCATAGCAATATACTTTTGAGTTTATTGATTTTTATTTTGTTTATTTTCAAGCCATCTCAAACTTACAGAAAAGTGTCAAGTACAGTCCAAATACATTTTTTTCCTGATCCACTTGATAATAAGTTTTCTGTCCATTTTTCCACTACTCATGAATACTTTAGGTATATTTTCTATATAGAAGGGCATATTTGACCAGCATGTAATCCTCAAACCTCATGTAAATTTTGTCAGTTGTTTTAAAATACCTTTCAGAAAAAAAGTCTAGTTTAGGGTCACAGATCACATTTATGTGGCATGTCTTTTAATATTCCTTCATTTGGAAACATTATTCCATTTTTCTTTGGCAGTCATGACCCTCATACTTTCAGAGGTTGCAGTAGACACCAGGCTTTTCTGCAGTGACATTACTCTATTTTCCGTTATCAATATAATTTTAAATAAAAATACAAATCCAGAGATTATAAAGAGTATTATACCCTTTTATAAAGTTTAAAAATAACTAAAAATTTAAAATGAGTTTAGTTGAAATACATATAGATAAGAAAAAAGCATTTAAAAAAGAAAGCAAAAGAATGATGATCACAGATTCACAATGGCAACTGGGTTGGGTGGAAGGAGGCAAGTGATAAGAGGGGCAGGAATACATGGGAATATGCAAGTTATTGCCCAGTTCCTGGCATTCTAGTTGGCATTGAGTTTAGAGAGGCTTATTATATATTGCTAAAAACAAGGTAAGAACTAAAGGAAGACCGTTGTTGGACCAGTGAGGGGAGTAAGTCAAGAACCACGGATTATGATCAATCTAATTATATGTACTTAAGACCCTATTTTTAAAAATTGAGCAGATTGGTTCATAGGTAGATATTGAAGGGATATTGGGGAGTAAAAGAGAAAAACTTCTAAAGTCACTCCAATAACCACTGCCCTGAGCCTCAGTGATAGAATCTGTGCTTATGTGAAGAGAGCCAGCTTCTCACAACCTTCTACTCCCTTGGCCATTACTGATTGTTTTCAGCCTAGAGAACACACTGTACAGACCCAGGAAAACTATTAAAGCTTAGAGCATTTTGATAATAAAATCTAGGAAAATTCATCTCCTTCCTGAAGCAATTTTGCCTCCCCAGAACATTTGCATTTTCCAACTTCATTTCCCTTTTACCAGAACACATATCAGCTTCGTAGGCCTCTCCTCTTTCTCTTGGCTCATGTATGTATGAGTTTAACACAGCTAACACAAGCAGATCTTTATTGGAAAAAGCCCTGGATTCTGATCCCAATTGCATCTATAATCGCTGAGTGACACGATGCAAATTAATCTCCCTTCCATGGGCCTCCATTTTCCAGCTGCAATTATCTACCCTCTTTTTTTTGCCCCAGAGATTTGATTTGGTAGGTCTGAGCAGACACATTTTGAAAAATATAAGAATCATTCTACTTTTCTTTTTCTTGGGGTTCTGTTCGATGATAGATGTTCATTAGGTTGGGTTTCTTTTTTCCTTTCTTTTCTTTTTTTCATAAGAAATGACCTCATGCCACAGAGATGGGCAAATTTCTGCCCTCGGCTATAACTGGTTTGTCTAGGGATTGTCATAGGTCCACTACAATCTCTTTTCTGTGAATTTGGAGGTGGGACAAAGAGGTTCTAGTCTCAATATGGCCAGTCTCATGAGTCATAAAGGGATTCCTGAGTTGTAAGATTGAGTAACAAAAGTTTCAGAATGAAGATGATGCACTGAAAGGAAGAGAAATGGAGGTGAGAACTGAGTTCTCGGCTGTTTTCAATGTGTTGAATCCATTCCCTATGGATGCCTGACTTCCTTCCTATGTTGGGTAGATGACAATAAAGTCTCTTTATTCCTTATGTGGCCTCTTTAGAGATCATTTGCAATAGTGCAAGTTCTTGTTCGTGCACTCCCCAGCTTGGCTTTCATCCTAGACTGGCAGAATTTCATTTTGGGTTCATGGAGAATAAACTTAATAGCAGCAAGTAGAAAATAAACTACTGAACTGGGGGCTAAGGGTGGAGAAGTCAGAATGACAGAAAAGAAAGCTAAAGTTATGAGGTTATCAGAAGCAGACAGACACGTATTAATTTTATACATTGGGAAAATATATTTCAATATATAAGGCAAAATTTTCAGGGTAAACCACTGGAAGGATGGACATAAAATGCATACCTTTCAAATAAGCAGAGTGAACCTCAATACACAGAGGAAGTTTTAGGCCTTTTGATGTCACAGATCTCACCACTGGAAAAACAAAAACAGAAACAGGAAGTTTTCCTCAATGAAAAGAGTAATGACATTAAATCAATAACGAGAATGTCACTTTTGTCCTACCAAATTGACAAGCATAATGAACAAAAATGATAATATCCTGTGTTGTCTGGGTATAGAGAAATGAGCTCACTGTGAATACCTGGTATGAATATACATCACTGTGCTCTTCCCAGAAGGATACTTGGCAACTATTTGTGCATTTTAACTTTTAACTTCAAATTTCCACGTCTAGGAATGTATATTAAAGTAATAATTAAGAACACAATTAGGGACCAGCAGATAGCATAATGATATGTAACTGGACTCCCACATAAAGGTCCTGGGCCTGGTAGCTTAAAACTTATGCCAGGCCTATGTGCATGTGTGCCCAAAATCTGAAGAGGAGACTAGAGGAGAAGAGATTGTGGCATGGCCAGCCTCCCTGGGGTGGTTTCTTGTTTTCTGTCTCTCTGACTCTCTCTCTCTGGCGACTGCATGCACCCTATAGCAAAAATCTCTCTTTAAAAAAAATATAATTAAAAGTATTCATTTAATATAAAAATATTAAAATAACTGAATTGGATCAAATTGGTATTGTTGTAATAAATCATGCAGAGTCATATAAGTAAAATATAATCCTTTATAGATATATATAATCCATTATAATCCATGTTACTATTCATCAGCAACACATGGAAAGATTCACCAGAGGTGGAATATGACTATAATTAGGTCAAACCTGAATTCAGCAGGTGCTTGGAAAGCATAGCCAGGAGGGGAGGAGAGAGTCTGGAAGTAGGAAAAAGAAGCTAATTTTTGAGCTAGTCTCTGAGAACATCAACCCACACTCAGTTTTTAAGTTTCAGCAATGCCCTTATCTCAATTGTTAATGCTATCAATATTTTCAGTGAAAAACAAACAAGCAAAAACTAAATAGCTGTGTGGATTCTGTTATAAAAGGTGGCTCTCCTTTGGGACTCAGTGGAGGCGTTTTTAGAGAATTTCCAATGAACACTAATCAGACAAATACTGACAAGAGAGAAATGCTGAAGCTGGCTAACACAAGTAGAAAACAGGACAAGATCCTCTGGGTCTTACAAGGTGTTGAAACCAATTCCACTGAGCGTTATTATGAAGAGACATTTCCCTGCCAAGTCTCAGTCCTCACTGTGAGAATTGAACAACAATATCTGAACTTCCAAAGGGCTTTAATTCAATCACTTGTTCATTCATTTAGTAAAGTATTGGATTGGCACAGGGGGTATAGGGATCAATGTTCCACTGTCCTTTCCCAGGAGGATCTCATAGTCTAATACAGGAGATAAACCAGTAAACAGATCATTATTGTTAAAACAATATACTAAAGATCTGGAAACATATAAGAAGGAGCATCTGTAATAGGCCTAAGAAATATGGGTTAAGGTCTGGAGCAACATTTTTCAGAGAGGAGATCATTAACCCCAACATCAAAATGGAATCTGTCAGCTAAGGGGAGTGGTGATGGGATGGTAGTGTAAATGGAGATGTCTTTATCAGATTCAGAACAACAAGTTCCTACAGACCATGAATAAGATGTACACAGGGAAGATAACAGTGTAGAGATCAAAGCAGAACTGGCAGAGTCATGTAAGCAAGCGAAGGACTGGGTTCCTTATTCTTTAGATCATGACAAACCATTCAAGGGGTTCCTACAGAAGAGCTTCAGCTTGTGAAGCCTGCTCTGGTAACACTGTGGAGGATAAATTTTATAGAAATAAAAGCAACCTAAGTGTCTAAAACCTGATGACTGGGTTGAACAACTGTGGCACATATATACCATGGAATATTACACAGCTATAATAAACAATGAGATCTTATCATTTGACTCAAAAATGGATGAATATAGAAGACCTAATGTTGAACAAAGTAAACCAGACTTTGAAAGACACACATTGGATATCCCCATTCAGTTTGAACCAAGTGTCTGCATTCTATGGCAGAGGTTGAGAGATCTAAAGATGTGACAGTGGAGAGAATGGGTGTGGGTGCTAGTGACAGTGAGGGGGGAGTGAATGGTAGAGAGTAGGTGGTGGAGGGTGGGCATGAGATGTAAGGGGAGTAAACATTTGACAGATGAAAAAATGTAAAGTTCTCTGTTAAAAAAAAATATATATATAGTATGCATTATGGTGGGGATGAAGTAAAATGTGAAATTAATCTGAAAAAAAGAAATACATTAGAAGAGTTATAATAAAAAATGGATTAGATGCTTATATTTTAATTAATAAGGAAGTGTGAATATCATTTATTGTGAATTTAAGTTCTTAGAGCTCTACAAAGTAAGACCTTAGGGTATATTTCAAATACAACCATGAAGAGCATACTGAAAAAAAATATGGAGGTGTCTTAGTCCATTATTGCATTGATAACACAAATATTGGAGATTGGGTGCTTTATAGAGAAATAGGGTTTTATTGACTTACAATTCTGGTTCCTGGAAGGTCTGAAGGTATAGGCCTGGTATCAGGCTAGCCTATAACTTAGACAGCAAAACACAGAGAATGGCAAGTTTGTGCAGAGACTAGTGACAGATTCCAACCCCATCTCATGAGGGCTAGAGCTCCCTGAGTCTCTCAAGACATCACTGATCCATTCACAAGAGTGTTGCCTTCATGACACTATTACCATAATCCAATCTGCCCATTAGGCCTTGCCACCTCCCAATGTCAAATTCTGAAGCATGAAACTTTGGAGGACAGACTATTATCAAAGTCATAGTGGGGGGGGGGTAAAACTGAAATATAGGTAAGTTAGGAGGCTCTTGCAATAGCTAAGAATAATGAAAGTCTAAACTAAGATAATGTCAGTGGAAATGATGAGCAGCATAATTCAAAAATATGTATAACAATACTAATAATTATCATCATGATAGCAAACCATTTCATAGTGCTTACTATAAGCCGGGCATGATTCCAACATTCACAACAAACCTGAGGTGGGTATTTATGATTATCCCCATTTAGCAGCTAATGAAACTTAAACAGTGAGGGTCAGAAACTTGTCCATGGCCATTTGTTATCAAGGTAGATTATCTCAGGTGGCCTAGGGAGGGCCTGGAGGGGGGATGTCACTGTACCTGCAGTCACAGTTTCCCTGTCTTGACATGAACTAAATGTGTTAAGATCCAATGGGTGTGGGGAGGGAGAGAAATGAGCTCACCTCAGTAGAGCTCAGAAAATCAGGCTTCTGTCAAGATTACACAGATAGCAGTATTTTATCAGTATCAGGATATGAAAGACTGAAGCTTGAGAAAGAAGTCTAAGCTAGAGGGATAGGGTTAGGAATTACCAGCAAATAATTGAGGGCTTATGGGTGTAAACTATTATCTGACCAAAAAAAAAAATTAAAAAAGAGATGAGTAGAGATGAGATGAGACCAAAACAGAAGAGGTTTGAGGACCCCATGGAATATGAACACAGTTGACCTAAACAGTCATTGTGAAGGGGAGGGAATATAAACACTGAAGATTTACTCTAACGGAAGACACCTGAGAATGCTGCAGAAGACAACACTGTAGCATTGTGGCAATGTCTCAAAAGAGATATAAAGGGGTGCCATGTAAGACCCATGTGGAAGGACTAGCCTATCACAGGAGAATGGACTCACTTCTTAGACAGGAAGATGGCAAGAATGTACATGGTCATTGATACCTTATAGGTGGAAGGGAGGGTGGAGATTAAACAGCCCTCATTGTAGCTGAAAAGGAAATAAATAAAACCCGGCACGGGGAGTGGAGTAACTAGAAGGTAAAACCAAGACCTTAGGAGTGTTTGTGAGTTCAAGAAAGGCAATGGCATGGCCCTAGAGGGACCATGTCACTCAAAAGCGCATGACTGCAGACTGAGTAATTGAATTAAGACTGAGAGTTTGGTTGCTAAGAGCAACATGGACAAGGAAAAGCAGTTTCCACTGATCTGAAAAAAGAGCTTTTGCAACCCAAGGTGTGATACAGTGTTGGGAAGGAGCTGCATCTTTATCACTTCTGTGTCCAACATAGCACTCTGTTTATATCTGAAGAATCGAAATAAAAAAGTAGCAATAGGATCTCTGAGGAAGGAGACCAGCCTGGAGCTCCTCTGATGGACAGTTCTCTTGAGTTATTAACAATTCTACTGATCTGTGAAGCAGAGTCTCCTGACCTCTCTGCACAATTGCCATGTAGACTGATTACCTCTAAGTCATGGAGGCTGTCCTGTGTACTGTGGAGAGTATAGCAGCATCGCTGGTCTCTACCCATTAGAGGCCAGCAGTGCTCCCCAGCTGTAACAAACAAAAATATCTCTGGAAATTGCTAACTGTCCCCTCGTGAACAATATCACCCTGGTGGAGAACTACAGATTTAGGGGGAAGCAGGCAACATTTTTGCATTTTACTAAACTAAGCTTCCATTGTGCTAGGACTGATTTGGGGTGAAAGTCAAAGACACTTTCCTGAAAACTGTCAAATACATTGGTCAAATTAATTATGAATTATCTATATAATGAAATAGATAGACATTGGCTGAATTAATCATGGTAAATCTATACAATGAAATACATAACCAATGGTCAAATGAATGTGGCTTGTCTATATAATGAAATGTATAGCCATTAAAAATAATGCAGCAAAAGTATAGTCACATGAAAATATATTCTAGAATAATCTAGGTAAAAAGAATGAATGAGTTCATATTTGGCCTTGGCACAAGAGCACAAGAGGATGTATTTACACCAAAATGTTAGCATTGAAAATCTTAGGTTGGAGCTGGTGGGGGTGAGAACTACACACTTCTAAAATAGTCCATTTTGTTCAGACCAGCAGATGGAGTAATGGTTACGTAGCTGGACTTGCACATAGTCAACCATGGTTCAAGTCCTGGACATGGCAGATGAAGTCTCACATTGGGCACACGTAGTGTCCAAAATCCCAAAAAGAGGATGGGGGAGAAGTCACTGCCCTGTTCCCCCCCCCCCGGGGGGGGGGGGGTTGGAAAAATTATTAGAAAAAAAATCATTTAGTTTCTGTGTTTTCTATGAGCATATGCAATTCTTTAAAGAGGTGGGTATAGAAGAAAGGGATATGCCATCAAAGGGTGGGGTTATGTTTGTTAGTCCATTTTGGGTCCTAATGCTATATGCCAAACAACTGCCACAATTTGATCTTGGCTGCAGCTCTCTTAGGGACTTAGATAACATTGAACAAAGCTGGTCTGAAGGCTGGGGATAGATAAACTGAGCTATTCTTGCAAACTTGTCCTATGACAGAAGAATTCAGATAAGGGACCCATTTAAATGAGGAGCCTGGAAGCAAATGTGCCCAGGACAGTAGCCTGGAAGAACCCCTCCCTGATGATGACCCAACAAAGGGAAAGGCAGCCCCAGGCTTTGCTTTGGCCTTCTTTGGGGCCTCTTTTGAGCAACGTCACTCACTGGGCTGCCTGCTGGCTCGTAAGCAGCTGTTTCCCTTCCCCACAGGCCATAACTCTGAAGAAGCAAAGCCTTCAGGCTTCAATGAGTCAACCCCAAAAGGGCCAGAGAAGAACAAAATGGGGAAATGGGGGAGCTGCTCTGGGGGATTCTGGGCACCAGAAGCTGGCCAAGCTGCAGGTAGTGAGGAAGTGCTCAGCTCTTCTGCAGGGCTTTTGTGTGAGGGCTTGGAGTGGGGTCAGAAGGGAGGGGAGAGGAAATGAAGAACCCTCTAGAAAGCCACAGAAGTGATTTCTTCTTGTGTATTTATAAAGACAAGTTTTTTTAAAAGTGAGATTTGTTTGACAGTGAGTCATTCCCAACATTTGATGGATATGATTCAGATGACCTTCCCTGACAGCATATTCTAAAATACGGGCCAAAGCTTCCTGATTGTTCAGAAACCCTCAAAGAGTTCTAAAAGGCAGCATCATCAACTTGATTTTTAATCATCCATATTTTTGGTGGTGGTGTTGATGGGTTCAAAGCCAGTAATAACCCCTGGCTCTGCTGGGAAGAACGGATGCTTACCAAGGACTGACTACAGTTGAGTTACCATCAGGTCCATAGAAATAAGGTGAAATACAAGAATCCTGAATTCTTAAAACCCCTCTCTCAGCAAGCACGAGAGTGATCTGATCCTGAACAGACTCTTTACCAACCTGGGTTTTCAGTTATGTAGATGTAACGTAAGTGAAGAGTTAGACTGCACAGTGTTAAGGTCCTCGCCAACCCCTGTGGGGAGCCCAATACTGATTGGAGTTGGTGTGCGTCCTCTGCGTGGCCTGAGCATTTTATGTTCATTTCTTCAACAACAAAGATCACAGAATATTGCCACTGCCTTCCTGAGCTAAACGCCCTCCTTAGACTATCAGCAGAATCCCTTTGCTGCCATAGCTCCAGAATCTGGAACATTGTCCATATATAGCAGGTAGTCAATAATTTTTTGTTGAATGACATCACAATGGAGAGAGTTTTGTAATTCCAGTTTCTAGTCTTCTTCCACCTTCTATTACTTCACCTCCTTTTTCATCAGGTCTAGAATGGAAATTTCTACATACACTTTGGGTAATCTTTGAGTCACTTTGGGGAAGCAGCTACTCAGGTACCTTTTGGGTATTCATTCTGAATGGGCATTCTTTGGTCATAGGGATGTGTCTCCCAGATGTCTAACTATGACAGTCTAACCAGCTGAGAGCCTGAACTGCTACACCCTGAAGTTTATTGCCGTGTTTGTTCTGGCCACTCTTCCCAAGGGCTACTTCTAAACAATGACTCAGCCCAGGGGCGATGCTAAGGCACACCTGTTCTTAGTAGACATCGATCTGCTCAGATAAGCAACTTTGGCTTGAGGGCTCCCTAGTGGATTTACTAAACTTTCCTTGGAAATTAGACTTTGAACCATTCTGATATTCCTCCAAACAACCTTCTTTCCTTCCTTCCTCTTTTCCCCCTTCCTCTTCTTCCTTGGTTCTCTCTTTTATTTGGGGTTGGATTTACCCCCCAGAGCCAATGGTTTTCCTTACCACTCTATCTCTAGCATTTCCCTTTCCAGGTTATGTCTAGTTTAATCTTGTCTTGGCATCTGCTTCTTGGAGAACTTATACTAAAATAGTTTCTCTTAAAGTAGTCTCCATACCTATTGAGTGGGCCCCAAATTATCTTGTTCATCCTCTACCTCTTTCCTAGCAATTTGGACCAGAGGTAGAGTAACCACATTTTCTTTCCAATGAACTTGGAATTGAGATCCATAGGTAATAAGATAGTTTCTGGGTGTGACTGTAACTGAAGGAAGAAATAGTAGCCCTGGGAAATCATCTCACCATCATGTAGTTGGAGATTCAGAGAGAGCCAGTCCTGGAAAGAAAGAAACAGGGCTGCCTTTGTGGTCCATAGTTAAGGGAGCCAGATTCCACATGGCCAACCATGTGGTACAAATCCTGGCCCTGAAGGATTGGAAAACATGCCAGGTACATGTGTATGTGTGCCCCAAATGTTGACAAAACAGAGAGCTAAAGGATAAGAGATTTGGATAAAGGGTAAGAGTGTGGCCATACCCCATTGAGGGGGTAATTTCTCCTTCCTATTTCTCTATTTCTCTGTCTTTCTCTCACAAGTGTATACACTCTCTGGCAATTTAAAAAAGAAAGAGAGAGAGAGAGAGAGATAGAGGGAGAGAGAGGAGAAAGAAAGAAAGAAAGAAGAAAGGAAAAAGGAAAAGAGAAAGAAAGAAAGAGACAGAGAGAAAGAGAAAGAAGAACGAAAGGAAATAACACAAATCTCAGAGATCCAGAGATAGTTCTGCTTGTTTCTATCGCTTGGTAATATTATTAATACTATCCTTTGTTCTAGGCTAGTGGATAGTCCGAGTGATAGAACCAAGCAGAACTATCTCTGGATCTCTGAGATTTGTGTTATTTCCATCACTTGATAATATTATTAATACTATCCTTTGTTCTAGGCTCTAAGATACCTCGCTGTCTTTTTTTAAAATTATTATTTATTTAATTTTATTTATTCATTCATTTATTTAATTTGACCAGAGAGAGACTTACAGAGAGAGAGAGAGAAAGGGAGAAAGGAAGCCGCCAGATCTGGGACTCGAACCGTGGTAGGCCATGTGGGAGTGTCCCGCATCTTAACCACCATGTCACCTGCTGGTCCCATTAAAATCGTGCACTCGTCGAGAGAGACAGAGAGAGAGAGAGATGGACTCGATGCCGCAGTCCTCCAGCCTCCATAGGTTTTTGCCATAGGGCAGGTGCCACCACGCCCAAACGAAGAACTTGCCGCAGCAATCTCAGACCGACGAGGATTCGAACCCACGTGTGCAGAGCACAATGGATTAGCAGTCCATCGCCTTAACCACTCGGCCACCTCGTCTACCCTAGCTGTCTTGATCTTCTGCAAGATACGTTAGAACCCAGCCAATACGTTCCATTTTTGGTAAGGTAGTTTAAGCTGAATTCTGTTACTTTCAGTCAGAAGAGGATGGACTACGAGTCAGCATTCAGACCTAACAAAGTTTCAACAACAAAATAAACTCATTGTCCATGTAACAGAGGGAATCTGAAAACGCCCTCCTCAAGGAGAAGCCAGGTTTCCTATCATGAGGGTGACCATGTAAAACTTATCATCCAAACTGTGACACTTTTAAGAGTGCCACAGAATCAGACCAGAACACAATCTTAATGAGAGTATATTCTGAAAATGTTTCTTGGGAGCATCCTCCTTAGGCCTTTTGGCAGACTGTACTTACCCCGGGGAGTTGCAGTGGTATCTTGCAACTTACATGCTGTTAAAAAAATGGGTTCTTGGGAACCAGCAGTTAGCATAATGGCTATGTCGTTGGACTCCCACGTAGTCAACTGCAGTTCGCGTCCCGGACCGGGTGGCTTAAAACTCATGCCAGGTGCGTGTGCGTGCGTGCTCAAGATCCCGAGAGGAGAATGGAGGAGAAGGGATCGTGGCGTGGCCATCCCCCCTGGGGGGTGATTTCTTGTTTTCTGTCTCTCTGTCTCTGTCTGGCGAGCGCAT